TTACCCGAAAAAACTTGACAAGCCAAGAAAAAAAAGTCCAAGCCCGAAAAAAATCCTGTTTCGGGGAGAGGGGTCCAACTTCGATCAGTCCTATTTTTTTTCCAGATATATTACATTACCCATAGTGGATTATACTTCAACAAAAAGTGGGGGTGGGGGTGGGGGGCTGTACAGTTTCAATGAACATTACATTTTCTATAGTAAAGTTATTTCTGGGAAAAGAGGGGGGGTTGCTATTATGTGCCTGTAATTTGTCCTAATCAATCAGGACCCCCCCCCCTCCTTTCTTACCAGTCATTAAAACACGGTCGTCAACATTCATTATATACTAGATATACAGCTTTGAGATAATGTAAATGTTTTTTAACATCAGGTAATGAACTTTTGGAATCAACATGATAAAGAGTTAACACAATATAAAGATATTTTTAAATCACATAAGAAAGAGTTGACATAACGTAATTATATATCCACATCACGGAATGGAGTTTTGACATAATGTAATAAAGTATTGATGTAATATAAAGATATGTTCACATTATGTTATACACTTTTTACACCACGTAATAAAGCACTGACATAAAGGTACGATGTGTTCACCTCACATCATGATGCCCTCGCCGTAAGATAAAGATACATCCATATCACGTAGTAATCCTTTGATATAATAGAAATATACACTCTCAAAAAGGAATGGGCTTTTGACTTCATGTAATGATAAGTTTAATTATAAAACACAATTTACTTGACGTAATGCAATTTTGACCTCACATATTTAAGAAATGAAATGATGTACAGAAAAATTCATATCATGCAATAAAGTTTTAACACAATGTAAACACATTATCACTTCACATAATGAATTTTTTACTTCAAGTTATGAAGTGCTGACATAATGAAAGGATGTATTTACGTCATGTAATGCAGCATTGACATGATGTTAAGATATATTTACATCATCTCATAAAAAATGGACATAACGTAAAGATATGTTCACATCACGTAATGATAAATTGATATAATAAATGCATAGTTGTATGCTATAAGGCAGTGATGGCGTTCCATACCAGAAAATTGAAAAACAATTATGATGTCACAACGGGTGGGACTCCGCCGTTGTCGATAATCCCCTGGCAATTAAATCTAGTTATTCCAATTTACATCATCTGACGTCTAACATATAAAGGGCAGAATTAACATTTCTGTACTATGTATATTGTTGATTTTTAATTCGGTTACAGTCAAGATGGAATTACTATTTAGGAATATTCTGTACATGTACTTATTAAGTAAGTTTTTGCATCTACTTTATTCATGGCAAAAATATATATATTATGCACATATTTTTATATTGTTTTATATTCCTGAATTAGAATTTAAAAAAAAAATAATTTTCTTGCAATTGAAGTTAAAAAAATGCTGTTTCATTAAATACTTTTGTCTTTAAACTTAGATAAGTACACGAAGAATACTTGCCTATATAAATGTTAATAAATAATTAAATTTTAGTACTCACTTGCGTTTCTCCCCCTCACCCCACCTGAAATTTCGAATGAAGTATATAGGAACGTATAATAAAACTTGATAATTGTATGGATGCCTTAATATACATTGTATGTTTTCAGGTACATTTTATAGCATAATATACAAATTTTGAAAGAGAACAGTTATCATACATGTATGTGAGTATAGTGAAAATTTCTTCCGCCACAGGCCCGTAGATCGCCCCACCGGGGAAGAGGGGTTGCAGGGGCCCGCCCATCTTTTTCTGGTTATACCAATTTGCTATTTGCTAATTATAATATTTCCATAAGATGATGGTTGCACGACCTAAACAGCCCATGCCTACCCTCATACCTTTTATTGCTGTAAGGTCGATCAATGGCAAAAAAAGTTTTTGTCAGAGAAAGATTCATGTCAGATTATCTTGGGACCCCCCTCCCCCCTTACACACGCACACTTTTGAAACTGTCGCTATGGGCCTGCGTCACAAATCAAATCACAAATCTCTTTAGTCAAGAACAAAAACTCAATGAGGTGTTTCATAAACATGATTAAGAGATAACATATTGTATGGATGAATATATTTACCGCACATGTACAACCTGTTTGACGTATTCATTTCGAACACGAATTGAAACTTTCATTCTACATACTCAGTCACAAAACAATAACAGTACTCTCACAGAAGAAGAAAAACTATACTTAATGTAAATTAAGCGTATTACTTGATATTGAACATATTTATAATTTAGTATGCGCATAGATGTACATGTACATACGCGTATTTACCACGCAATGAATATTAGATATCGTCCATTTTCACGACTTTAAACAAATTAGGTCCAAGGGAAAATTCGCTGGACACAATCATGTACATGTATGATTGTGTCAAGAACTAAATATTCATTTCATTGTTTAAGTTGTAATGTTGAAATAACTGTATTTTTTGAAGACATTCCTTGTACAAAAATAAAAACCACATAAGCAAATTCTTTGATAGTAAGGAGAAGTTACAGAGATAAATCCAGATTTCTTATAACAAACCACTAATCAATTTTTATCTAAGAAGCTATCGATCCAATTCCTTCGTTAATTGGTCATCAAATGATATTGATTCGCGCGTGTCACAAAATATGTAATTGTGCATCGCAATTAACCTTCTGTTAATCAATAAATTAAATCTTGTTTTCAAATGTTATGTCTTTTGATTAATAATTAATTTTATACAGATTTTTATTTGAATGGGGATATCAAAAGGGTATATAGGGGTCAAAAAGGGGGTGTTGCTAAAACGCGGAACGGAAAACGGAACGGAAAGCGGAACGGAACGGAAAACGGAAAATAAATGTCAAGAAAAGAACCTTGATTCGGTATGAATCAGACATAAAAAGCAATATTCATTATATGAAAGTCATATTTAATGAAAAATTAACGTAAAATATGATATATTTGTGAATTATGCTCCTCTCATAACATGTACATGCGATTGTCAATAAAATACATACTGTGATTTAGATGTACTGTAAATCACTTTTTATTTTCGCGTTATTACGCGAGAGAATGCGTTCGCGAAATTTAAATTCTCGCGTATAAAAGTATTCCTTACGATTATATAGAGGAATAACGACTATTCGTGAAAATTATGTGTCGCTTACAAAGAGTCAATGCCAATCTCGCGAAAATTAAGTGATCTGCAGTAGTATATCCATCTGTCAAACGTTTCGTTCAAATCATTTTTTAGACAATGCTTATTTATAAATAAAAAAAATCTTGTATTGAAAAAGACGGAAGGAAAAAAGACTAGTAGTATGTATACATACGTGTATCGGTAAAGACAAAAAAGAGCTAGTTTTGACGTACTGGTATACAGATTATGCCGCATAAATTGGCGAATCCGGGAATCTTGAAATGGAGAAGGGGCAGTTTGGGGTCGGAGTAGGTTCCCTCAGTCTCACACATATATTGGTCACAAAAAGGACGGGGGGTCTTTCTCCCCTTTAAATTCATGAGTGGCATATGATATGCATATTGAGAAATTCAAATATGAATAGCTGCAACATAACAAAACACGTTTTACTGGGTCGTTCACCCCCACCCCCCAAAAAAGAAAACACACTTTAATAACTTAATGAAGCGTATGGACGATATATTAATTTTACTACAGTAAAGATTTACAACTCCATCTATCTAAGATTTTAATTGATAGGAAGCGACTCTAACTTGTATAAAATTTTAAAAACCAGTTTTTACAATCGAAGTGTTATCCGGGCTTGTGGGAAAGGGGTGCTCTAATAGTAATCTTATTATAGAAGATTTTTTTTTACATTTCATTTTTTTTTGTTTTACCAATTATCATGATTTATAAAGATAACAAATATCCCCCAAACGTTTTCCAGACATAACCTTTATACTATTGAAATGATCATGGAAACCTCCAACACTTTCTGTCTGTTAAATTAATTGTAGTCAGTAAGTGTAAGAAAATAATACTGAAAGAAATTGGAGCTATGTCATTACTTTGTCAGCGCTTTTCGTAAGAGACTTAAAATGACAAATTAAACTTGTATTGATCATGGAGGGATTAAATATGTAAAAAATATATCGTTTCTGAGAAATTTATATATTTTAAATGATTTAATCTTAAATAATATTTTCCGTTTTCCGTTCCGTTCCGTTCCGCTTTCCGTTCCGTTTTCCGTTCCGCGTTTTAGCAACACCCTCAAAAAGGGACCATTTATCAAAACGGCCAAAGATTCGGGCATTAAGATCCTTTGAAAGCGTTCTAAAGTTCTGTGATACTAATATTACAATCTACAATGACGCACTGCAATTAATTCTTACCTAGAAGAAAGTCTTTATGTTTTAAAGCGCGGGAAGGGGTGGTGTGCAAATATGCCCTTTTGAACAATTCTAACTCAGCCTTTAATTGAGTATTAAATTATAATCCCTTACGTCCAAGTATGACGGTTTCACAATAATCTAATAGTCCCGGGGCTTTTTTATTTTCAAGAATTACGATTCCAGGCATTAACAAAGTTCATTAAAAAATTATCCTCATTCTCTTACCGTTGCCGTTAAAAGGTAATAAACTATTTTATGGCAAAAATACATTTCGTTGTGTTGCAAATTAAGCTAGACACGAAGGTGGTCTTTTTTACAAACCCTATGCCTGTATGGGATGTTTCTTATCATGACGTCAAATTCAAAATCATCATTTCGAAAATGAATACCAAGTATATATAAACTGTTATAAATATAATTTTCAACGTCAAATCTAGATTGTGACATTGCTATAAACAACACTTTAAACACGTTTTACAAACTTTTATCTCTGGTCAGAGTAGCGAAGTTAAAATACAAATTGAAACTTAATTGGTCAGTGTGTGATATAACTCAGCATTGAAATGAACATTTTCATCATTACTTTTGAGGTCGAACACTTAAAATTTGTTTAAGATATCCTCAAGGATACTTAATTTCAATGTTTTATTTAACAGTCTCCTTGATGTTCCGTGGGGGCTATGCCCCCGGGCCCCCTCCAGTATATTCCCGGGCCCTAGAAACTGCTCTTCGCACGGAATTGTTTGAAACAGGGAACTATTCCGTTCTCCAGCGACCAAACCAAAGGGTCAATGCCAAGGTGTCCTTGACTTTGTTAACTGTTAATGAACTGGTATGTATTCACACTGATATGGAGTACAAGATTTTATGTTTGTATATCAAATTATTCTGATGAAATCGTAATTTGTGGATATATATTTTATGAAATAAGTTGTTTAAAAGAATTTTCCTGAATAAATTCATTATCCATATCCAAAATTACAAGTTTTAAGCACTAGCAATATTAAATTTTGATGATTCAAACTGAATTGACTTTAATACAAATACATGTACATATATTCTCTAGTTACGTGAAGATTAGTCCGAAATATCTGATGTTTTCCAGGCTTTTTGCACGATTTTGATATTTTACGTGCCATGCATAGCGATTTCCTGGCACATATAAAATATCAGATATGCTAATAGGATAAAAGCCTGGAAAACGTCAGCTATTTCGGACTACGTGACCATTAGATAATATTCTATGAAAATAAGCTAGAAAATGTTTTTGGACTTACATAATCAAGAAGAGATTTAATATTTGGAGTGTACGAGTATAAAGCTTCGTACGTTTGAAAAGAATTCATTGAGGAAAAGTTTTGTTCTGTTCGGTCTTAAAAAGAAAATCGATTTTTTTTATTTCGACAGTGATGTTTAGATCTAGTTAATATACTTTTTGATGAAGATGTAATGCAATAAAAGAGAACACACTATAACTATAGATTAATTAAAGAACTACGAATTTAATGCCCTTTTTATTAATGAACTTTGTCAGAGACATCCCATTAAATCAAAGTGCTGGGAAAAGATCAAAATGATTACTTTTAAAAAATCAATATATTTTGCATTAAATTTATTTCAAATTTTAATTAAAGAATTAATTTAGTCTTAGCAGACAAATCTCAGGCGCACGATGCTTAATGAGCGCAACATCCACAAAATCAATCACAAGGGAATGTCGATCTCTCTGTCATGTTATAAATTTTGTATTTACTGCCACCCGGTAAATTAAACATTTACAACATGGCATCTCTGAAGAAATTGAATGTAAAACAATATAAACAAGTTCTGTTTTAATTTTATCGTAAACGGAGTAGAAAATCGTTCAGTTGTTTATTTTGGATTTAGGGACTGACCGCTTCATATCTTTAAAAATCATGAAAATATATTAAAGGGTAAACCAACGTACATGTACTAGCTAGTAACGGTGTACAATGTACATATTTAAAACATAAACTGATCGGATGCATTAATGTACAACCTTTTTGTATTCCGGTGTTTGAACAAGGGAATTAATACAAAATATAGAATGAAAATGTTTTGTAAATACGGTCTGATTTTTTTTTTGGGGGGGGGGGGTGTCCAAATACATTGCATTTTTGTATGCACACGCAAGAAAATAAAAATATACTAATCCCTTGATAATCGGTCTTATGAAAACCCATGACGTACTTAATTTTTATTAAAGACGATAGTATTTAACACAGACGTTGTTGACGTAATGTTCTACAATCGTCATTATTTTGATTACAGAACATCAAAGACCAGCTCTTATCTATATCGGGATATCTAGCAGTGGTAAGATTTTAAATCTTTCTGTTGTCTATAAATTAAACTTTTATTATGATAGTGAGGATTTTCCCCTGTATATTATGGCCAAAATTTCACGAGAAGGTCACTTGATCTGCTTGTCAAGAGCAATTTCAAATACTGCAACCATTTTCCATTTTTCAAAGAATACAAAGTAGAAATTGTCATCTATTATAACAATCATTTGCAATCTAGGGGTGCTTCTACTTCAATCGAATTTTTGAGAGGGGACTTTGATAATATCAATTAATTAACATTAGAGGAAAATTCATTTTGGGCCAAAATTATTTCTACTTAACACTACAAAATCATTACATGTATTTATTGCTTTTGAAATTAATTTTCTTTGGTTCGTCAATTACCAAAGACAAATCTACAACGACCAGAATTGCCCTGTCGAAGAATGAAATATCGTTAATGTGTAGGACAATTTTTTTTTTCTATTTAACTTTAAATGTTTGTGTGACTAAGTACCTTTGTCTCTTAAATGCTTAACTATTTGATCAAAAATTGTACACTCTTCAAGACACCAATACATGTTTACAAGTGCAATATTCACCTAACATTAAGCTCCATTCATTTGTCAGGATTGGCTAGATGACCGACTTTCCTGGAGCAATACTTCGGCCACTTCCCAAGACTACTCGAGTATAGATTTTCTCTTCAGCACAGAAGTATATGTTTGGACTCCAGCATTGATCATTGAAAACTCGTGAGTATACATGAACTGCCATTTGCAATGTTACACATTATGCATCATAAATCGTAAACTCTTGGATTGGATCAGAGGTTATGATTGTATTACTGCATAAAGATTTCCCCAAAGGCATTGGCGTAATGTGTCACTGTGGCAACATGGTGTAATTGCCGTAGACATCAAATGCAAATTTATCAATTGACTAAGATTGAAATTAATATGCAAAGGTGTTCAGGGCAGTTTCCCCTAAGGTACACTGTACAGCCTTGATGACGATATGGAAAAAAAATGCATTTTCGAAAACATCTTTTTGCAACAGAAACAAAGGATTATCAGATACGAGACATTTTTTCATTCAAGAGTCACGAAGTCAAAGTTCAAAAACAATCAGGGACACATTTTCCACATTAAATTTGAAATATACCAAATGACCAAATACTTGTGAAATATTCATTCATGAAAAACAGAGATGAAGTACAAAAAAATGTCATTAACACCCATTTAAAAGTTGAACGTTTCTTCGATTTTTAAAGCTCGTCCGCGTGGAGTAGTGAATAAAGCGTCTGCTCTAGAGTCACGAAGTAAGGAGCTGATCCTTATGTCGCGGGTTCGAATCCCGTGGTGGGACGTAGTGACCGGTCCTGCGGATGAGACCGTTTAAACCAAGGTCCCGTATCGCAGTAGGTGCTGCACGAAAAAGATCCTTCCCTGCTCATTGGCCCTAAGTGCCGAGTGTAGGACACAATTTGCAGCTCTCCACCGGTAAATGGTGGCGTCTCCATATGAGTGAAATATTCTCGAGAGGGACGTTAAACATGACCTTTTGAGGTCCAATTTTGTTTCAAAGGTTGGTGTTTGGGCACAAGAGAAAAAAAAATCGCGTATCAGTCTCCATCAAAAGGTTCTAAACATGAGCGTTTGCTTACGCAGGTTATATGTATTTTTTTTGCAACAGCTGCGACATTAACCAACGCACTAAGGTCCATGTTGAGATTTTACATCAAATAACATCATAACATTTCCAAAGTTTTCTAAAATGATAATAATTTTTTGCAGCATTGATGATATTTCTATCATCAGCGACACTAAGATCCCAATGCGGATCAGAAGTGATGGAAGAATAGCATGGAATCCAGCAGGAATCTACAAAGTGGCCTGCGAGTCTGACATTACATACTACCCGTTAGATTCACAGACGTGCACCATCAAATTCAGTACCTGGGGTTACACGCAGGCAGAAATCAATCTGATTCTTGACGCTCAAGAACCGGTAGATCTGAGTTTTTACGGTGAAAACGGAGAATGGGATCTCCTATCTGCCATAGCTTACAAATCCAGCGATAGATCTCGAGGTGGACAATCGTTTTCTAGTTTGTCTTTTGCAATAACTTTGAGAAGGAGGCCGCTTTTCCATGCTCTCAACACAATATTTCCGGTTGTCTTGATGGCGTTTTTGATACCCATGGTATACAAGTTGCCCGCAGAATCTGGTGAGAAGATGGGATACTGTCTAACCGTTCTGTTGGCCTATGCTGTGTACCTAACACTCATTTCTGATAATATTCCAAGCACTTCGATGAACGTTTGCTATTTATGTAAGTACACATCCATAATTTCTTAATATCAATTAGTCCAAAGATTAAATAAAATTAAAGAAATTATTCCTACTTTAAGAGTAAAATATTTTGTGCAGAGTTAAACTTTTAAATCTTTTCAGAACTTATAATGATTGAGTAAAACTTGTTACTACTGTCTTTGATTAATTTTCAATCTTAATTTTAAAATTATTACATGCCAAATTAATTTGTCATATAATCATTTCAACTTTAGATTGAAAATTAATCAAAGACACTGTAGTGTTCGTATTATCGTGTATACATTGTACTAATAAATACATGTATATATCTTCATACAATCTTTGCTGTGTTAATTTGTATAACGTCTTTTTCAGCAATTTATCTTGGACTGACCATGGCATTCAGCACACTTTCTGTAAATATCGTGATTTTCGTTCTCAATGCTCATTTTCAAGGGGAGAAGGAAGTGCCAAATTGGATAAATAAAATCTACAGGAAATGTCGTTGCAAAAAATTCATAGGAAGTGACGTAGACAAAAATAAAGTTTCACCTTCTAATGACGAAAAGAAGAAAGACAATGAAATTCTTGTAGAAAGCGTGCAGATGGAAGATTACAGTGAAACTGAAAAACTGACATATCGCGAGTTTTCAGAGATATTGGATAAATTATTTTTTATTATTTATATGGTGGCAATTTCACTTACAACATTTATATTTCTTATAATTCTTCTTGTTCATTACTCCTCAATATAACCTAATGCATAATAAAACAATGACATATATACTTATCCTACATATAAATCGTTTTCCAGTCCCTTTTTCTTCAAGTTATACAGTTCATGGATTGTTCAAATATTCAAGTGTTTCGCTTGCTCTGCTAAACAGTAAATGAACACTTAAATTTATTGTCTTCATGCACTTCCTAGCTCTTGAAAATAATAGCAGGTGCGTAAATTCAAACAAAAATTCATAAATATAATCTTGCCGCTTTTTCGCATTTAGTTGCTTTGTGTAGGTCTTGCACTCTACTGAGTCTTTTTTGTACAAGTTTAAACATAGACATCTGACGAATGGATGATATCTCACCAATATTACATATGATATCATTTCCCGCTTATCCGAAGATTTAAAGATCAGCCTATACGGTATTTAAAGTAATACTATTATCGTGTACCGTGTATAGTGATATAGGTATAATGATATTTTAACGATACCCGGGCCCTCTTATGCAATTTTCTTTAGTTTTCAGAGCATTTCTATCCGTTTTTACTTCAGTATCAGCCAATTAGTTTTCTAATGTCAGCTAAACTATATTCAATTAAATTTTACTCGAAAACCTGATTTTACCAGCTTCCTTTTGATGAGAGTTAACTGAGATAGCTATAAGGTGTTTATGTGTTTCTGGTTGTCAATAATTCATGAAAAGTAAAGATATTGCAATTGTGTTTGTAAGTTGTTTAATCAATATCTTTGACAACTCAATTCCAGATCTTAGTTTAATCAAATAAGGAACTATAGACCTAGTTTATATTGGAAAACAACATGATTATAGGTGGAGATAAAAATAAAATATTGGACGTCATATATTGAGGATACTTATTTAATTTGTTTCATGCTTATGCCTTGTCAGTGAGGGATAGTTTGAACTCGGACCAAAGTTTAAGGACTAATGATTTTGTGTTATTTTTAGCCAAACTGACCTTCCCTAAAATTACCAGAAATTTAAAATTATGGACAATTCGTTAGCCACGTAATTAATATCTCAATTTACACATTCTTTGAATTATCTGTTCTGGTTGTCTATTTGAATATAGTCATGCTAATTCCAACGTTGACACTTTGTCAGAATGGATTAACTGTATCAAGTCTATTTAACAATCGCGTATTTCAAGATTGAGGGACAATATGAAAACCATCCATCCATCGATCTGTATTTAATAATCCAGAGATGCAAAAAACTGGGTAGATTACATGATCAGTATGTACTGGTCCTTGCTGACAAAACGGGTAACAACATTGTATTCGTTTGTAAGCCTCATTCATTGTATTTCAGAAGAAGGTGGATTTAATTCTACAAGTACATGTAGAAATCCAACTTATACAAAAAGTTTCCTTTCTAAGGAAGAAATTCCTCAAAGTTATGTCAGTTTTATTTGAATATCTTTAATATACCAAAGAACCAAAATGAACTGAACTACCATATCTACAGCTCAACGCACTTTTTAAGCTCACATGGTTTTTCGCACAAATTAAGGTCACATTGTTATGATGTAATATTGTGTATCGAGGCATCAAAATACATTTTAAATTTATTTGTTTACATTATTTAAGTTTCACCGGGGGTACTTCATTTACTAAAACATAATTCACACATATCGATTTGTAGAACTTCGCTATTTTCATGGCTGAAATATAACAACTACTCCCATTTGAATTTTTGTGGTTTCTTGCCAATGCAACTGTCTTTTTATCCGTTCTTTTGAAAGCAATAGCTGTTGGCAGAAACGTAGACATGGGCACAGTTTAGCTATTGTAACTTGCATTTTCTGTACACTTTGACTCTTTAGCTCGAGGTGATAATACTAGTAGTATTTTTCATCGTTTGACTGCTTTGTACAGTGTATGTTAATAAGGTGGGAATTTTCACAATCTACTTCTATAATCTAGACTCATACAATGTAAGAGATTCATCCCACCTTAAAATTCTAACCTTTCAAACCTTAAATGTAGAGGAATTTTCCTTTTCAGTAGGAATTTACTATTTTAAAAAATAAACAATACTTCATTATCCTACCTTTTAGTGTGGTTTCCTTGTTATCCCTTTTCAGCGCTACATTTCGACAAAACCAAGAGGAGTATGGTAAATGAACAAAGAATTTTAAAATCTACTCACCTTTAAGAAGAAAAGTTTAAAATTTCAACTACAAAGTATCACGGAAAGCTGGTTTTATACAATTGTTAAAAACCTATGGTAGAATTGTATAGTCGAAACATCGTACCATTTATATATAAATTCCCCTTAAAAACATCTACTTTTGAAACTTAAGAATTTTAAAAGACACCTATGCGTGAATATTATATATGTAATATAACGTAGGGTTATGTCATTGTACTGCAGTTCGAAAATGGTAATTTTTATTACAACAATGTGACCTTAATTTGTGTGAAAAACCATGTGATCTTAAAAAGTGCGTTGAGCTGTATATTGGATCCCGAAACTTCATAAAAATCATTATAAGCGAGTTCCAGCTAGTAAATGCTCAACCAAGTCTCTTTCTTTAACAGTAGTGAAGGGGAAATTTCACGAGTACTTTGCAACAATAT